ACGGGGGGGGGGGGGGCCTGAATGTTCAAAAATTAGAAGGAGAAGCATTCCGTGGGGCTCCAGGCTCAGACCAGATATAGCTATAGTGCGATGAACCACGAATATCCTGCTTGAAATTGAATCAGTCAGGCCCTTAACTACGCTCTGGCCTCTTGACGAGATGTCTCAAGACAAAAATGCAGCTTAGGCTTGTGGGGCGGTTAGTCATGCAGTAGGCAACCCGGGCCAGACAGCCCCTATACACCCTAAACCCAAAGCCGTATATCGCAGCACCCCATTTTTCTAGGTAAGTGGCTCTGCGGGGGGGACGGATCAACCGAATGTAGGGTTTAGGGCTAGTTTAGGGTGCAGGGTTTAGGGTTTATGGTCTAAGACTCTGGGGCTCAAGCTTCAGTCTGCAGCGGCACACGTCCACCAAACTGCGGGAACAGTTGATGACCTTTTCCGGCCTTCTGGGACCAAGCTGCAGGGTAGGCCTTGTTTTGTTATTATAATGTGTTAGTTCTGCCTCAGCTGACATGGGAACCTCGACTTCCAGAGCCAACTGGGCAAGACCACGGCGAGCCGAGCCCTGGCGATTCGTTCGCTTCGGCAGGGAGAGTGGCAAAGTTGCTGGGGTTGACGAGTTCGAGGTTGCATCTGCACTCTTTGCGGGCGAGAGGGATGCCCTGAGCCAGCTGACAGAAGGTCGACACCTCTTCAACCTTTGTTTACAGTTCGGCCTGGATAGCACGGCGCTCGCGCTGCTGGAGCACGGGGTCGAGGGATGCCGCCTTGAATGGGATGACCTGAAGGGCCTTTCAAGCGAAACCTGGTCGTGGGGATCCTGGAAGGGCTGCAGGTGTCCATATGGCAGCTGGCAAAGCTGCAGCGCCTGTTCTTGGGGCTTCCCTCTGGAGACTTGGCCATTGAATCTGCAACCTTTTCGGTTTCTTCGAGATCATACAAACCTGTAAGACTCAAGCATCCCACTTTGTCGGGCTATCAGCTGCCTAGAAACCCAGTTGTGTTGGTCATGACCAACCCCCAAAGACAGTAACATATTCTCAGTAACTGGGCTTCTTGGGGCAACAGAGGCTCCAAACATTCGTTTGGTGTTAATTAACTGAGACCAAAAGCCACACCTTCCCCTTCCCCCTCTTCCCAAAGAAGGAGTACTTATAACCTTACAGAAATAACCCGAAAGCCGAGAAAAGGACAATGACGTGTGGATGCCAGACTGGGACGCAGACCTCTGTGAGGCCTCCCTCACAGCTTCAACTCTGGCTCTCTTTCCTTTGCCACTTGGTCTCTGAAACCGAAGGGTTTAGGGTTTCGGGTTTCCGGGCCTGGAGAGATTAATTGTCAGTCTTGGCAATAATAACAATGATAATGACAATAAGTGCTTAGGAATAATCCTTCCAGCCCAGACACAAACAGCCGGCTTTTCCTTCGTGAAATGATCCTACAGAAACCCATTGCACATCTGATGTTGCATTGAAGGTCCATGCATCTTTATCTATAACTGTCTACAATGCTTAGATATCTACCTCTCTCTTTCTCTAGATACCAGTTTGTATCCCCATCTCTATATCTATGTCTGCATCTGTATCTGCATGTGTAGCTGTATATCTATCTCTATACAGTATGTGTGTCTATATGTTTATTTACACAGAAGCAGTTCTGTCCTGTGTGACATACCTTTCGCCGTCGTGGGCATCCTTTCAGAGCGAAGTTGGTTGTGAGGTATACAGGAGCATGGATGCTATCGGATGTGTCGGGTTTGCATGTTGTCGTGTTGCTGTGCCGTTTAAAATTTGTTCAAAACCCCTGCTGGCTCCAAGTGAAGACGCCGCAAACCGACACTATAAGACAATTTGGCACGTTCTCCTGTCAGGACAGAAGCCTTGTTCAATGCCATTCGCTCTGACACTTCCCTGCCGGGGCTGGAGGTGGGAACTTGTGTTCATAAGCCGTAGATCCTAAACCGCACACCCTAAATCCTAAACCCTGAAATGCCAAACTCAAGGACCCCTGTTGAAGGGAACCCAGCTGAGGTTCTGCGACTGCACGGGCTCCTGCTTAGGGTTCTAGGATTTTGGGTTTAGGCTTCAGGATTTTGGGTTTAGGATTCTAGTGTTCAGGGTTTGAGGGTTAAGGGTTGGGGGTCTGGGGATTAATCCCCGGTCATAAGTGCGTGCGCTATGCGTCAATCTCCATACCCCTGGACAAGAAATTGCTTACTAGAAGCATACCTTTACCAGAAGCGTACAGTAAATCCTGTATGAGCAATGTTAAGGTACCCCTGAGCTTACACTTGAACAGTCGAGCCGAGAAAGCCGACAAGCCACAAATCTAGACCCGCAGCGGTTCGCAAAGACTACAAGATGGATAGTTCTCTGAATAAGGGCCCCTTCTAGGATCCTTCTTATAAGGGTGCCGTACTATGTTGGGGCCCCAAAAAGGGACCCTATTTTAGAGAGCTACCCATATAGATGTTCTACTATTTGTTTAGACAGACCTGCCTTAGTTTCAACTTTGCTCGCCCTGGAGTGCCGAGTTGCGACAGTGACAGTCCAGACCTCTAAACCCTGAACCTCTCAAACCCTAAACCCTACCTATAGTCTCCATTGTAGTTCCTTTTTTGGGTTTAACCAATTTTATACTAAGGATCCCAAAAGGTAACCCCAAAAAGGAACTACAATGGAGACTATAGGTAAACCCCTAAACCCTATAAACCCCTAAACCCTAAACAGCACAGAGGGTAGACGTTCGGGTTCCCGGTTTGGAGGTCTCCAACGAAGCCATGGCCCGCTTATTAGATGTGGCGGTGCTTCTGGGAGATAAGGACGCTGGTTTGGGAGTTCAAGGTGTGGTAGGGTTTAACTAGGGTTCAAGGTTTAGGGCTTTTGGGGCTTAATTTAATTACTCCTATAGGAGCCCTATCAATTAACGGCAAAATGGGTCACTTTTCCCTTAGACCCTATGCAAAGCCCATGGTACCCGTTTCATTCTTACAACCTACTGTAGTTGGGCCCTTAAGCTAAGGGATTCGGGCGTCGGGGTAGGACCTAGCTTTGCGCTGTGCCGATCGCTGTCCCTGGAAGCCGTTGAGACGGTGGAGAGTGCAGGACTGACAGCCTTCTCGAGTTTTGCTAGGATAGGGTCCTCATAATAATTTGAAGACGGTTGTGGGGTAATTAGGCCTTAGAAACTTACACTCGAGACGACCTTGCCGATTTGATAGAGGTGGCTCTACAAGCCTTAAAGAGAACTCAAACCTCCAAATCCTCTATCTGTGCAGCATAGTGTCCGGCAAGGCAACAGCAGGAATCATGCATCACCTGAACACTTTATCGGATTCAAGACGCAAGGGCATTCCAGTGGAGGCCAGAAGAACAACTCGTGCTATCAAGGCGAAAGAAAGCTGAGCCCAAAGCCCTAAAGCGCCGAGGCTCCGGCAAAGCCAAGATAGGGGACACTGTGCGTGTCCGAGTAAGACAGCGGTCCCGGATTTGAGAAACTTCCAGATCCTACACGGTTTAGGGTTTAGGGCTTTAGGGTTTTAGGGCTTAGTGCTTCGGATCCTAATCCGGATAACAGGATCTACTCTGCTGGGACTTCAATGGAGTGTCCGTCACGGCGCCGGCAGTCCTGGATGCAGCTCTGGCTGTCGGCACGGCTCTTTTCCAGCTTCGTGCTCCCATTGCGATGGGTGGTGCCTCGGTGATGTTTGCAAGCGTTGGACTTTGGGGTACCCTTATCCTTTTAGGCTCAGCATTGCCACGCAGTGTTACACATATGTACATACTGATTGCGTAAGTTGTATTCTGTTAACAATTAGCTTAATTAAGAGTTATACTTCCTTTCTTTACGGTCTGTTAGGGTGCGATGCTACATGAGGTATATCATCTCATCGCACATTTATCACATGCCTATTGTATCATTTTACGTTATATTAAATGATGGTTCCTGCATGTTCTGCTCACATCACATTCCAGTATGTTTATGATATATTACAGTACGATGTTCCATGTTATACCGTTGTATTACATGTTCTGTATTTACGTATGTATGTATGTACATACGGGCGGCGCAGTATTGCCCCCAAATGCAATTGGTGGTGCAACCCGGGCAGAATCGAAAATTCAGGCGACGTCGCAAAGTCTATCAACAACTAGCATATCAACCCTCGCGAATTCACCTGTCTTTGTGTCCAAAGCGAACCCAACATCAACGCTCAGTGTCTGTACTATATAAGTCTCTTAGGATAGTTATGCATGTTTCTCACAACCCTCGTTCCAATATGTATCACCCTACTTCAAGAAACGTGTTTCCGTTGCTTTCCCCACCATCCTTGCAAGACCTAGCCTGGCGCCTAGCGAGGAAGCTTCCGTGCTCAACCGGGGCGACAAACATAATGCCTTGCCATGTTAAATGTGCAGCGCAGGGTTGCACATCTTCGATTCGAGTGCTTGCGCCTATCATCCTGACAATCCATACCTACAGAAAGCTGACCGGTTCAAGCCCGTACCCCGTTCTGAAATTGGATTACAAGCCCCTCAAAACCCCGGCTAACATCCTCGAAAGTTTCACCAATTAGTTTGGTCCTATGAGGTGAGGAGGACATGAGCAGGCCGACCCATATTATAGGGGGAAATGAACGATGAAATGACTGATTAGTGAAGCTGTGAAATGGTGAAACGGCCCAACCATAACCATAGGGTGGGGTCATTTATGAAAGGTGAAATAGTGAATATGGTGAAATGGTGAGGGGACGTAACCATACGGGGGCAATGAGCGGCAAAATTGTGAACAGGTGACTTGGTTTGGGTTGTGCAAGCAGCCGGGAAATGCAGGGCGGGATGCAAAAGTACCCGTGTATGTCTCGTGTGTGTGTGTGTACATATGAATATATATATATATATAGATATCTCTCTCTCTCTCTCCTGTCTGCGTCTGTGTGTGCTTAGATATACATATACACACACACATAGATAGATAGTTGATAAACAATTAGATAGCTAGATAGATAGTCAGATAGATAGATTGATAGCAGGTCTTTTCTCACAGCAGCCTTACGACATCGGTCCTTCGGACCATAAAAACCAGGTCTGTACGCTTCGTACTGGTCCTACGCCATGTCATATGGGAGCTTGCTGGGTGTTCGCGGAATATCTCTTCGTGAGGCCATCGTACTCTCAGGCGACCAGAAGATCTTGGAGCGAGTCAGCAGTTGCGAGCCCGACGAGGCTTCGAGGACTCGACATGCAGACGCTCTACTTCCGCTAGGGTGGCTTATGGAAGCTGAGGCGAACGGGCGGCGCAAGGTGTCATCGACTCGATTAGAGTTGGCGAGGTTGTCCGGGCTAGGGCATGGCAAATGCCTCGGCGACAGCGTGCGTGTGCAACCCTTTTGGATGGAGACGACACATGCCGGCACTAGGGAAAGATTCACACTCGCGGGCTGCACCGTGCTTGATTTATGCGTTTACGGTGGTCAAACTCGATGTGCCGGGCTCGCAGCAGGAATGGGAGCGAGCTTGGGCGACCTTTCTCGGGTCTTCCTGGAACCGGACTGCATCGACCTGAGAGTGTGCTTGGCCCATGGGGTCAGGGCGGTGGATGCCACTTGCCGTGTTAGGGCAGCCCCCCTTCTGCAGCGAAAGGCTGCCGCCGCGCAGGCACTGGGAAAGGCTCTGAAGGCATCCATGCAGCAGGCTTCTCAGAGGATGGGTCTGGGTCTTGACCAAGCTTTGGGTGCCTGGGCGAGTGGCAAGAAGGTGCCGTCCTTCCTGGCGGGCAAAATCCTTACTTTTGCCTCCGAACGTCCCGCCATTGCAGACCAGCTTCAAGAAGTTGCAGGTGAGTTGGGTCTGCAGTGGGACGCTTCTCAGGACGTACCAGAAGTCCTCGATCCATCTGAGGATATGCAGACAGATGCTTAAAATCCATCGGCTCCCTTCTCCAAACACTGAGAGCATGGGTCCCCACTGTGCCCCACGAATGGCCTCCCATTGCTCTGACGTGGGCCATTCGCGCTCTCAGCGCGGAGAGGCGCTTGTAGTGATCCGTAGGGACACCGTCGAGCTCATTCGCCCACAGCCGCAGGCGTGCCAAAAAGCTAGTTCCGCACTTCTCCACCCACATGCGGCCCCTTGAGCTCGTTTCATTCGCACCGCATCTTCCTCAATCACTCGGGCTCTCCCCAAGGGGTCGTTTCAGAAATACTACAGATGTAGATGCAACTTTGCTTGTTTAGTTACCCGCCCTCTCGAACCCCTCGCGGAGAGCGGC